TCTGTTTCACAACCTGAAAAAATGATCTCCTGGAAAGCGTTTTTCTGATGATGAAGAGCTGAAGGTGGCAAGTAACGCACATTTCGGGGACAAGAAGGAAAAATATGTTTCAAAGGGTCGTATTTGAAAAATGCCTAGTTTCCCAATATGTTTTAAAGGGTATTGAAAAGCTAGTTTCCCGAACAAACAAGTGTATTGAGGTTGTGGGGGACTACATTGAAAAACAACCAGAATATATTGAACACTCGACGCACGTAGATCACTTCTTAGTTTCCAGAAACGAATAAAGATGTTTGTATGAACATCCATATTGCTCAAGCCGGTGACGATCCTTACAGCAGTACATCTGATGGTTGTCGATGTGAGCAATATCGAGTATGTGCGTCGGATTGAAGCGACAAATCGCCATACAATCACCACTTACCTATAATTGAGGAGCAAAATGTCAATGAATAGTTGCAGCATTAAAAACATTTCTCATCAGGGCACATCGTTGTTCGCATAGTTTTGACTGAGTTTTCATTCATTATGCGATTTAAAATGGTAGGGGGGGGGTCCCAGTTGTGCACTGATTCTCGAAAGCCATTAAATGGACACTGAAATGCCTAGAAGTTTATGAATAGAAGGAAACTGTTTAGCGTGGGTTTAAAGCTCAAGGCATCACCAAAATGTCCCGGCTTTTGCAAAACCGGAGGCGACAATCGCATTTCCTGTGTTTGGTCTGCGAGATCCCACGCCGACTCTGGTTATGTGCTGTCTGCTAAGTCTCACTTTTTTGAGGAGAAGGGACGCAGAATCGCTGTCACTTGGGAGTATGAAAACTGTGCACTTAGTGAATTAGGCCTTGACCATATTGGCTAAGTAGTAGCATACTGTGCAGTGGCAACATGGCGCATCAATTCGAAACCCCACGTAAATTTAGCCGTAGAAGAGGTACCTTTAATAGAGAACAGTACCATTTAGTTCAACAGCCAGCTTCCTATTGGTCTCAAGGATCGGACTGGCTACGGTAAGCGGTCTTCCTCGTGATACCTCGTTCGGAATCGAACTTCAGTAGGACGTTTGGTCAGATATCACGAATCGCCTCGTTCCTTTCAGGCTCTAATAAAGGCCGGTTCTGCGGGAGCGCACGTGGGTCTATGAACTTTGCTCGCGAGAAGTCCACAAAAGAAAACTATACTACATAGAACTGCTGCTTCGAGTCTATGGAAAACGTTAGCAAATTTCCCCGAAATTCTTGAATATCTCTGATCAGTGCCGTGTATTTAAAAGCACATTTCTAGTATTGGTACTAGCGTAATTTGTTATATACCATTTTCACTTTGAATTCACCACTTTTCAAACCAAATTCACCACTCTTCTTAGACCAGGCAGTTCCAACCAAATCACGCCAGACACCACCGCGAACCCTGCCCCGACGGTCACGCCTACTTGTCAGCGCGGACATAGATTTTCAACACATGACTGACTCCGCCCATTCTTTAAAGTTTGTTGCGAACTTCAAATCTTCATAACTTTTTCAATTTTTAATTTCACATCCACTCTTCGCACAACGAAGGTACTCGTAGACGCGCATTCATGCACCGGCAATTTAGGCTCCGCCCCTTTGGCCACGCCCACTTGCTTTTTGCGGAATTTTGATATTTTTTCAAAATTTTTGCATTTTTGGGCTGCTGCGTGAAGCCCCGCCCACTGTGAGAGGCTCCGCCCACTTTGAAGAAGCCCCGCCCACTTTC